AGCCTGAGGTTGTCAATAAATGAGAAGCTTTTAATTTGCTATAAAAATCAAAAACACCTTTTATTATACATCTAGTCTTTTATTATTACCTTGTTTTCAAACATATTTTCTCCCTTTTTTTACTTTTTAAAATGTAAAAAAATCCAATTAGCTTTTTGGGCTGGCGTTTGAGACAGTTAACATGTGACGTAGTAAATATTAGTCTGTTTCCTGCCAATAAACTACACTTATTATTTTTGATTGTCTGATGTTTGTTTGAATTATCTTAATTAGATTTTTTATGACCAATAGTGAGTTTTGAGTCAATGTTTTCTCCATATCTCCTGTTACTGAGATGAGCAGTTCCACCAGTGTTCGTATAGCTGCTTATTGAAGGCTGACCCTTGCTGGGTTTGTTAGGGAGGAGCGTGATGAGGGAAGGTGGAGTAGCTGGAGCGTCTTTCCATCTCTGCCAAAGCTCGAGTCAATGTGGAGACTGTTTTCGGGGATCTCAAACAGGGGCCCTTTCCTGTCGACCCTCCTCCTCCTCCTTTTTGCTTCTTTCTCCTCCTCTACCCTCCACCCTCTCCTTAGCCTGGCTGGACCTGGCTCTCGTACAGAGGTCCCTTTGTTGCGAGCTTTCTGTCTGTCTTACTTTCCCTCTCCACCTCCTTTTCCTCCTCTGTTCCCTCCCTTTTTCCTCTAAAAGTCTCCAGTCTTCACAAATATGAGATAATAGGAAAAATGGAGCTGGCATCTTGTGGTGACTCGGGGCAGAACGCCTGAGGGAGAAATAGAAAGTGAGTGAGAAAAGCCAGGGGGAGGATATTGTTTGGGAGATGGACAGAGGTTGCGTCCCCTCTCCAGCAGCTTCCAAACCAAAAGCCCACCACGGATCCAAAAGCTGGGTTGGTGGAGCTCTCCGTTGCATATACGCACAGTTTCGCTCTCTCTGCAGGTGGACGAGGTTGTTTTGGCTCAGCTGCAGGGCGGCAGCTTGACTCCGTTTGAGCCAATGAGCCAAAATAATAGAAGACGACTCCAGAGTTATTGTCAGCTTTTTTTCCTCTTGTATGCTTTTCCTAGAACCCCCCTCAGCTGAGTGGGATCCTGATCATCAACGGCTATGAAAAACTAAACAAAACAATTATAAGAAAGACGGCAAATATGAATTTCTAAGAAAAAGTAATCTAAACATCTACGGTTGCGATATTTTATTCAGTGTAAACATCATTAAACTTTCAGGCGGTTGAAACAAACAGATTCTGCAGAAACACAGAGAAACTCAATAGCGAGATTGTTCTTTAATAAATTAGCGTGAACTTGATTGCATTGGCATTAGTTTTGTTTTGGGGGTGGGTGGGTGTCCGTCTCCGCCCTCAGCTCGAAGGACCCCACCCTGCAAAATATGCAGCTCACGCCCCTGCGTGGGTACCAGGCTCTGCACACTTACCTCACCTCGCTGCCAAAATACACCCATCCGTCACACACACTAACAGGCAGCAAGGAGATCAGGGAGTAGCTAGTGAATTCCATGGAAAGACTTGTGCAGTCTTTATTTCACATAACGACACAAAGTAGTGGTCTGCCTTTATGAGCTTTTTATTTGACTCAACTGCATTTATGAAAATAACCAGTGAAGATTCCTCTATTTAGTAATTCATGACTGTAGGATGTATATGACATCATGTGGCATTTATAGATGTGTATCAAAGAGGGAAAGACAAGAAAACACTATTTTCATGTTATTATTTTTATTATAAGCAATAAAATCACAATATTAAGAAGTATGTGCCTCAACTTTCATATCAAAACCATCAAATAGCTATTAAAAGGTTAAAAAAAGGACCAACTATCATGGTATAGTGATACAGTAAGCACAGCGTAGGGTTAGTCATGCTGTGGGGTGGTTTTTTTCTCTCAAGGTCAATTAGTGTGCAGAGAGTCAAACATTTTTAGCAGAAACTTGGAGAAACCTTCCTGAAGATAAAAAACAAAAACAAAAAAAAACCTTAAATTAGATCTTTAAACAAGGAAGTGACCCAAAATATATTCCCAAATCAACACGGCCTTTATTTACACATCTTTAACAGGGATATTGAAAGTTGTAAGAGTTATTTTTATCAGGCGTCTTGAGCGAATGCTTGCTCTCTTGCCCAGCTCCAACAAAGGGTAAAGTAAATTAAGTGTTTTCTATCTACTTAGTAGAGAAGTAGTAAATCTTTGAATGTGGCCGAAGTAAAAAGGCGGCTTTCTAGAAGGGATGTGTGCCAGACATGATGTTATTGTTGTGCTGGGAAGTCTGGAAGCAGCTATGGAAGTGCTCTGAGAGGTTGACAGGATTCTAACGTGCCAAAACGGCGGTGATGAGAAACTAATAGAGGGGAGTCAGGGTGACATTTATAAGGTGACAGGTCCAACCTATTCAGCAGTTTGTGTTTGTGTTTGTAGGGCAGTTTTGGGTGACAGTGGAGGCTCCCCACAGCATTCAGCATCTCACTAAAAGATTCAGCACGCCTGCACCTCTTTTCTCTGGTCTTCCTCCCAGCTCCTCCTGCCCATTTCGTTCCTTTTCACCATCCACCACACAATGAAAGAGCCTCTTGGCTTTTATTAATAGTTAAAGTGGCCCCGGCCTGTCACTGGGGACAATGGCTGCAGCCCTGTTAATAAATAAAAATAATAACTAGGAGATGGAGACGGAGAGCGAGGGAGATGGAGAGAGAACTGGCGACACTGCCATTTGTTGTTCCCTCTCACTTGTCAAAGCTCTTTGGCTTAAAAGCCTCTGTCATTGTTGAGGGAAGGAGGGATGGTGGGGGGGGATGGAGTCAGAGACAGAGAGAGAGAAGGAGGCTAATAGCACCTGTTGGGGTGATGCTAAGACAGCTGTCATGGGGAGAACTGCAGGAGTCTGCTCCTTCTTCTGCTCATGTAGTCGTTCACCGTTTCCCATTTTAGCTGAACATTCTCCATCTCTCCCTGCCATTCTCCTCCTCCTTCATACCTTCAGCTCTCTGCCAGTCGACCCCCCTGAGAGAGAGTTTGAGACAAAAAGCACAGGGGGCGCGTCAGGGACCGAATCTCTGCCAGCGCAGCAAACACAAGGACAGGTCAGGACAAGGACGAAGGCGAGATGAACAGGAAAAGTCAGAGTTTGAACTTCAGCATTGATCTTTGACTCTGTGGGGGCAGGGGGGGTGTTTTGGGTGAGTGCGGCCACGGTAATCAGCAGGGCGTGAATGCACTTGTCTCAAAGCCAAAGGATGGGACCATGCTGAACCCTCAGGGGAAGCTGGAGGCACACAGTTGAGGTACAGTGTGTGGATGTGGACTTGTGTGTAGTTTGCCAACTTTTACCGTCTTCAATCCCTTGTGTTTTTGTGCAGTTGTGATTGAAGGAATTATTGAATCTTGAAAATCTCTGGTTTTCTGCCATCCTTGTCTGTTTACGCTATTTTCACTGCAGCGTGAAAAAAATTTAAGAGCTTTTAGAGCACCATATGAAAAAATTGTTTTATTCAGTATTGTTTAGCTCATTGCATTAGATACTGTATACCTGGATTTATTTTTGCCTTTCATCTCAGAATGTGCACATCTGCACAGGGGTGGTTCTTCGATAAATAGCATCCCGGGCGAGTCCCCCTCTCTAGCCCCCTTTTACCCCCTTAGTGTTTTTTTTTCACTTTTTTGTGCGTATTCACATATATAAAATTAAAATGTATAAATTTCAGGCTTGATTTTAAAGATATTCTTTTATATTGCGGAAAAAAAATGCAACTTCATCAATTTTATTATTTAGCTGAATATTTCCAAGATGATTGGCGATAGAAACCTGCCTGCAGTGCCACTAAAGGATGCCCCCGCCAATAGATGTAACCCTGGACAGTTTGCCATTTCCGCTGAATATTAAAAAAACATCTTGATCTGCATATAAAACTAGTTCGAACTCATCTTGTTAAGAACAAGCTTGGTTAAGAGTGAGTGTAGAAGGTATACTTTTTTTTTTTTTTTTTATTCATAATAAGTGCCGCTGAATCCATCGGTGATTCACATAAATAACAACCATCAAGGTGTTTTGTAAGAATCAGTTAGATGAGTAAACATAGGAACAAACTTAGAGTTGAAGTAAATCAAGCATTTTGTTTCTGTAATTCCCATTAGGTGATGAATACTTTATGTGTCAGCATGTAAATAGGGTGTTTTCTGCTCAGGCTGCTGGGTGTGGTGCTTTCCAAAGTTAAAAAACATGGTTGATTTAAACACTTTGCTTTTAGTTTAAAACTGTGTATTTCTCTCTAAGTTATTTAGAAATACAATACGTTGCATTAAAACCTAATCCCCACCGCGGTGTGTAACTTTTTGATGTGTGTGTGCGGTCCGTGTGCACACATTAAGGACTGACTCTCTCCATGCGTATGCTCTCCTGTGTGACATTTCCACTCCTCCCGCTGTGTGCGAGTGTGTACATCTGTGCACAAATGTGACCACAGTGAGAATCGTAATTAGGGATTCTGCAAGTGTGTGTGCTCGTGCAGTGCTTTTTTTTTTTTTTTTTCATGTGTGTAAGAGACTGTGTGAAGTGTGTGTTGAAAACAAAGCGCTAGCTGATAATGTGTCCATTGTGGCGGGTGCATTAAGGCCCTCTTTGTCTCAGGGCCCACAGGGCTAATGATTCTCTAGCAGCAGGTGAGAGGGGAAAAAAGCCTCTCTCTGTCCTCCACTCGTCTCTCTCTTCCTCTTGCGTTGCCTCTCTCACTCGTTCCCTTTTGCTTGCTTGTTTTTGTTTTTCAGATTTGCTCTCTTTTCGATTATCAGCTTCTCTCCTTCCGCTCCTCTCTCTCTCCCTCTCTCTCCTGCTGATGCGGCCATTAGGCTGAGCCGCCGCTGCCTTTATTACAGCAAATGGACTTTAAATGAGCTTTATTGTCATGTTGGCCAGCCAACTGAATCCCTCTCTCTCTCCCTCCCTCTCCTCTGAACCCCCACCCACCCCAAACCCTCCCTCCTCCCCTAAACAGAGCCCCCCAGCATTGAGAGGCTGTTGTCAAAGGACTGGAAGGATAAACTTTTGGCCATGGGCTCAGGGCACATCGGAGAAATTAAAGGTACGGCAAAAGGAAAGAGCAACAGCACTAAACGACTCTTATATAACAGGAATAAGTGCTAAAAACTGAATCAATATTCGAAAAAAAAAAAAAAAGTCTGGCTCTTAAATTGGTGCCTGATCCCCAAAAAAAATCCAGAATGATCTTAGCTTTTTTTTTTTTTTTACACAAATTAACCACAGTGATTGTAGTGAAAGTAGTCACAGCCAAAAATCTTATACCAATATCATTAATACTGTTACCAGTCGTAGTAACAGTACTGTTTTTTTCTATTATTTTACTCAGTAACATATTGAACCTCACCTACACACAGACTGTCTTCTAAACTATATGTTTTCTCCTCAGAGTGAGATGCAGTTAAACAATAAATATATTAATAAAAGCAATAGCATAACTAACAGATTTGCCAGACTGGTCTCCATTAGTTGTTTGAAGACGTGGATGAGAACTCCAGTTATCTACAGTTAGACCATCTACCAGGTAGAACTGTGCAATGCTTTACTTTTCTAAATAGTGTGTATTATTAAGCAGGTATGTAGGCACCTAGTTTCCAACTTCAGAGCTTCCCTTATGATGCATTAAAAGCATGGCGATCAAATTCAGTTGCGATTATCCCAAGCGGGGTTGCGAGGGGTGCTGGTGCCTATCTACAGCTATCTACGGGCGAGAGGTGGCGTACACCTGGGACAAGTCGCCTGTCCATCGCAATTATGACACAGACAAATATCAGTCTGCAGCCTTGACATGCAATAAGCCAGCAATTATAAATTAGACTTTTAATTTGATGTGAAGTAGGCTACATTTTTTAAATAAATATTTGTATACGTTATTCAGCCTGCCAGTATACATGTGCTAGGCTCTTATTTTGAAGGTTTGGAGGAATTTCTGTCTCAGTTTATCTGTGGTATTGACATGTTGTCAAAATATCTCTTCTAATATCAAAAGTCTTTGGTTTAATTGACTCAAATTGAAGCCTAAAAGTTTGACGACCAGATTTTTATGGGAACTGTATTATAATTTAGTGAGTTATATATTTCAAAATACTTTATTTGCTGCTTCTATTTTTTTAAATCCTTTTTTATTTGACTAACGTGGGTTCGGAGCTTTCTTTGTCCACAATCTCTTCTTCTGAATGATAGAGCGGTTCTTATCATGTGATAAAACTGCAAATCCCATGATGCATGAGTAAATACTGCCTGACTTTATTCTCTAGACAATCAGGTTCCTCCATCTGAAACTTTAGGTTAGTGCCTTTGAAATTACTTATTGTATGTTTAGGTTTTTATAGTCAAGTTCACCAACTCCTCCTACACAATAGAAAGTGAATAGTCAATGTAGCTGTATAAAATCAGTGGTGAATATCTGTTTTGAAGCTTAAAATATGCTTTGGAATCTATATAACGTAGATATACTGATAGATTGGCGACCTGTCCAGGGTGTACCCCGCTTATTGGCCACTAACAGCTGGAGATGGGCACCAGCAACTCTCGTGACCCCAACTGGGATAAGCATGATGGAAAATGAATGGATGGATAAACTAGATGTAATAACATCAGTTGGAATAAAGAATGTTCTAGTTCATGTCATTTAAGCTTAAGGATCTGAGTTCATGGTCATTTATGTCTTTGAATAAAGATTTTGGCTGGCCTGTTCACAGCATAACACTGTTCACAGCCTGACCTAAAGGCTTCAAAGTCTTTGGTGGTTCTTCTATCTCTTCTTCTCTTCCTCAGCCTTTTGCAGCAAACTATTTGAGATACTCTTATTAACAGAGTTTTTAATAGTCCTGTAACTGAGTATAGTTTTGATGTAAATTTCACCTTTAAAGGGTATTAAGTTTGAAGTTCTATGGCAATTATTGGAATCAATTACCTTAGGACAATTGCAAAAAAGAATAACTTTTTGTTCATTTGCTCTTCAATTACTGACTTTTTGTGTAAAAATACAATTCAACATCGCTTTCCGTTGTCAAAACATGAACTACAGTTCTATGAGGCTATGTGTTTATAGAATTCACCTCTACTTAACGTCCAAGAAAGATTTATGTAAGAATTTTTGACTGAGAAAGGCAGTTTAAAGAGGCAGGGGAGAGCAGTTTGGATTCACTGTAACTTTAAGGCAAAGCTGTCATTCTCCTCCAGTAATTGAACTTCATTAGGAAGCCAAGCAATATATAATCAAAGAGCTTCACTGAGCAGCGTGGCCATCGAGAGCAGAGCTCCATTGATCAAACCCCTTTTCCCAGCTCCCTGTCGCGTTGACATTTCCGTGTAGGGGCATCCCGCTTGGCGCGCTGCACACCAGCAGCTGGGGAGCAATATATGCATGCCTCTAAGTTCTTATATCTGTTGAAGCCATAAGCGTTTCTTAGTACCTAAATAATGTGTGGAAAACAAAAAGGGTTTGTGCTGTTCTCCCACTTTCTGTGCATCCTTTACCATTTTTTTCCCGCCACGTCGAATTTCCTCGAAAAGTATTTTGCCCAGGAACAAAGTACTTCTGAGCTGCCACCCCCCGCTTTTGAGGCGTTGTTAAAAGGCCCCATGCGGTTCACATAGATAAGTATATATACTCACCTTTATGGAAGCCCAGAGATAGAATAAAAGCTCCCATAGTGGAGCCTCATTAACATCAAACGTGTCTCAGTGGATGAAGAAGAGTCAAAAACGAGGTGTCTGTCCTGGCTTTGATTTACCTGACCTATAACCACGCTGCTCAAGTTTTACTTTTCAACCTGATGAGAAGAAACTGAAGGCCTCCTGGCGTTAGGGATGGTTAGGTTAAAAACAGCTGTTTTAACTGGAACATTTACGAACATATAAGAACCACCTAATGCAAACCGATGGCCGTGGTTTCTTTGCTTTGGATGATGAGGCAAGGTCAGTTTAAACAGTAGTTGATGTTTTCAACATTTTAAAACCAAACACCATCATAAAAAACAACATTTGAAGGATGGAAAAATCAATTTATTGTGTTTTGATTTTAATAACATAACCAATAGTTAGCCTAAAGCTGTTGTTAGTAAGAGATTACTATACATATGTAGGTCATCTGACCACTGTCCTCCTAATCTCACTTTAAAATGCTCTCCTCTTGTCACACATTAAATAAAATATAATCATAAATGATCGTTAATCTAAGAGGAATTAGAATATTTATTTTTTAATGAATGAATTGATGATGCAATCTATTATTCCTCTTTTCTATTCAGCAAACTGCACAAACTAAAAACATTTTTTATTTCCAATGAAGGCCGTTTTATAAAGCTCTATAAAATAACAATGGGATTAGTTATTTCATTAAAGACAATCAGTTATAATAGTATTGGTGGAAAACTGCATTCAACTTTTTATTATTATTTCTACAAACTTTACGTTTTGTTAGCCTTATAGTTGCAATGAGAAGCTAAAGAACTTGTTGGTGAATGGCCCTTTTAATAAAGATGCACCAATAAATCAGTCAGGTACTGAAAATGTCTGATTAATGAGATTCAGAGGAAATTTTTTCACAAATTAAATATATAGAAAAATTAATTATTCCCACAGGAATCTAGATTTTGAGTTGAATGTAAACTTTGCTTTGAAGCCTATATATAGTTAATTTTGTCATTCCTCTCTATTATATCAATACATCTGTAAGTTATCTTTTTGATAATAGTCCTTAGCATTAATATTTGGATAAGTCAAAGTAGAATTTGCAAGATCATAGTTAATAGAAAATGGATACTGGACAGAAAAAAGCCTGTTCACTGAATCTCCACTTCTTTCCTTCCTCTCCTCCATTGCTTTGTGACTTTTTCCCATCACTGTCTCCTCCATCTATTGCCTGCTCCTCTTCCTTTCATTCGTCTCGCCCGCAAGGAGTTTTCAACGCAGCCGGAGTCATTAATTAGCCGTAGGAGCGCGGTGACAAGCACTACATTGTTAGAAATTGGTTAATTACCCTATACATGAGCGAAGCTGTGAGTGTGAGAACGAGGAGAAAGAGAGAAAGTTCGTCTTGGTTCTGATAATCACAGGATGGAGTAATCTGCCTAAGGAAGAATGTGCGTTAACCCGTGGAGGAAACCAGTTATCGATCGCCCTGGCTGCCTGCCTGCCTCGGAGCAGTGAGGGAAACAAGGCGATGCAGGCTGATTTATGGGCCGACTAAAGGAGCTCTGGATCTCAGAAGGAAAGGGAACAAGAAGCAAGAGATGTAGCTCCGAAAATCTGGTCTCACTCCTCACTTAATACTCCAAACATTAGTTTATCTAAAGATAAATGGTAAAAGAAGAGATCAGATCTTAAAAACTATACATGTTTTTTGTTTCAGAACCCACCGAAGCCTTAAAGCTTTCACAGCGTGTGTGTTTCGTGTCTGTGTTAGAAGGGCGGTTAACCCCTACAAAAAAGCCTCCTTTGATCCATCCTTTCACCTTAGCGACTCCCCCCTTCGCCCCACCGGCCTTTTCCTCCAAACCCCTTCACCCCGCGTTTGAACAGCCTAACGTTTTTAACACAAGGCTCTTTCTTGTCTCGTCAGCTTTGGCTCAACACACACACACAAGCAGCCCCCCCCTCCACAGATACACACAAGAACACACACTCCTGCTCTGGCTCTACAAAGGTGGGTCTGTGAGTTAGGACAGCGGCGTGTTTATTTTTCCAGCGGCCAGTGCTCCCGACAGTTGCCTTTATTGTTCATTGTTGGCGGATGGATGGAGTGCAGGGGGGGAAGTCAGGGAGGAGGAGGCGCAGGGTTGGCCGGTGGGCAGCAGAGGAGGTTACAAGCTGAGTGGACAAATGGACGACTCCCACCTTCCCGAGCGGTCAAAGGGCGGATCAGCTGCCACGTCTCCATCCCTCACGCCCGCTACGTCGTCTTTCTTCCCCCTTTTTCTTCCTCATCTGGTTCGGCTGGCGCAGGAATGTGGTCCTGTTAAAGGTAGCAGCTGAGGAACAATGAGGGATTGTGCTGCTCCACACGTGCACACGCACACGCAAAGGCTGAACAAAGGCATGTAGGCAAACATGAGTACATATGACCAGACAAGAACTCACACACTTGTGCTGATTGGGCCTCAGTGTGCCTCCCTATAACTACATCCTGTTGAATGATTTAGGCCTTGTGTGGAAGGGTGTGTGTGTGTGTGTGTGTGTGTGTGTGTAATGGAGCTGGTATGTCAGGATCCAAGGAGTCAAAGGTCAGGCCATGCTAAATGTGAGAAGGAGGTTGGCTGACTGCAGAGTAAACACAGACCAGACACACTCTCTTTTTGCTGGTTTCTCCCTCTTCTTTCTCTCTCCTAAAGCTTGATCACACAGAAATACAGCTTCGTCGCTGCAGATCAGTCTCCAAATGTCCTCGTAATTCTCTGGAAAACCAAATACGTTTCCGTTTGGCTCCCAGCTTTTTTTTAAGCGAGAAATGTAAATTTCCAAACCTGGCCGAGGATTGGTTTTTGTTTGTGAAACGTATGAATCTGGCTCAGATATTACATTTGCTTTTTTTTTTTTTTCCTCCTGCTCCTGCTCCCCACCACATTTCGCCTGTTTACAAATATTTCCCCAGCCAGATTTATTTTTCCTTCTTTCAATAAGGCACTAAAGCTGATGGTGATGATGATAATGATGATGGATAGGACTTGATTAATTGATGCCTGCCTCTCCCTCCCAGGGAAACCAGTTAACATCTGGCTATGCGACACTGGTGCTCTTTAACAAAGCAAATCTACTACACTGCTCCCCTCCTGCAGTTAAAACCTTCATACCACTCATATATAACACTAACCAACAAAGGTTTTGTTTGTTTCTTAATGCTTTAAATGTCCATGTTGCAAAAGTAGTCCTAATTATTAGACTTTTTCCACAAACCTCATCATATTTTATTTTGATTTTATGAGATAGACCAACATAAATGGATGATTAATGAGCAAGAAGAAGGAGAAAGAAACTCTGGGTTCCTACTTTCTCTGTCTTTTTATTCTTAACTGTATGAGGAACCAGCATTGTAAGGTCTAGAGAGGTCAGGGATAAAGCTTTGGCGCATCTGAAAACAGATTCATCTCAAGCTTTGATCTTCTTTCTGGTCCAGCGTACTAACTGTAAGGGAGGAGGGACGAACCATCATGCTGTGGGGAAGTTTTCTTCATAAAGAGGGAATGACCTTTGTCGTATTTTTCTGCAGAGCTTTGAGTTTCTCTATCCCGTCAACTACCAATAAATCACAGAGATGTTTGAAGTTGCGTCAAAATGTGTGAAAGTTTATGAGGTATTGCTATTTTTCAAAGGCAATATCGGTTTACGGATGCACCACATGCTTGTCGGCGGATCCATTGTATGGATGACTTTCTAACTACACAAAGGCGACTTGTTGGTTTAATTTATATTCTCCATTTAAACAGGAAAAGGTAACCTTAGCTGGGTCTTTTACTCCTCTTCAAAGTGCTAACATTTCACCTTTGACCTGCCCCCCTCCTCCCTTTTTTTTTTTTCTCTGCCCTTTAGGTACCCCAGACAGCCTGGCGGAGAAGGAGCGCCAGCTCATGGGCATGATTGGCCAGTTGAGCAGCCTGAGGGAGCAGCTTCTGGCGGCGCATGAGGAGCAGAAGAAGCTGGCCGCCTCACAAATGGAGAAGCAGAGGCAGCAGATGGAGCTGGCCAAGCAGCAGCAGGACCAGGTAGAGGAGCCCACTGCATGTGAAGGATCTGTGTGTAATATTCCACAGCAGCGGAAAACTCTCAGAACTTCAATTCAGTCTAAAATCATTTTTAAGCTAAAACAATAAAAGAGCAAAAGCACAAAATAGTGCACCTTTTATTTAGTTCAAATCAATTTAAATGCAGACAAACAGAAATAAATGAACTAGAAACTCTGAGTAGCACATAGCATTCCTAGAGAAAAAGCACACTAGTTTATTTAAGACGTGTTTATTTTCCTGGCTTAAATTAAAATCTCTTGAATTTTCATGAAAACTCTAATTTTAACATTTTCTTTTTCCAAGTCTGCATAAAAATTTAATTTAATTTAATTTAATTTAACTGCTGCACCTGGATGTGTAAACAATAGGTTTCTTCATTTGATTTTCTGCCATTACTTTAAAATTTCATTAAAAACTTACTTTAAATCCAAGCTTTTTTTAATGCACCTATTTTCAAATCATACAGAACATTGATGCAACCAGAGAAACATGCTGAGGGCATTTAGTACTGCAGCAGAAGTAACAGAGGCACACACTTTTTTTTCCTCTTTCTCTCACACACATACACAGTTGAGGCTTCTAGGCAAGGCTCTGCCAGGTATTTGCATATTGAAGGGTTTCCCTATTTTGTTTTTGCTTTTTTTTCCCCTTCTGGAAAACTTTGGCTTATCCAAACCCACACATAGACGCACAGCTGTAAGGACAAATCACCTGTGACTGACACAATGCATTACAAAGCCCTGAGCTGCATCTTACAGCAGGTCCTAACTGGACTCTTTAGCACATCCTTGTTACTGCACTGTATGTTTTCTCTACAATGAGCTTTTAACATTTTGCCAGGACTATCTTAGAGAAAACACACAATGAAAGCTGAGAAATTTAGTATAATCTTAAAAAAAAACAGTTCTCTGTACATGCAGTAAAGTTAGCATTTCTTTTGAGTCTGTCCATAACTGTTTGTTTACTGCTGAGTCCAGATCAGACGAGCTTTAATATTTCATGAAAGGGCATCGACCCTCTGTCGTGCAACCAGAGCCTCAGAGACCCGCAGATGTGCTGCCTCTCCCACAAGCTCGGCCGTACGCGCATACACGCATGTGCATGTACCCTCTAAAACACCGCTGTGTGCTCTGTTCCCAGATTGCCCGGCAACAGCAGCAGCTCCTGCAGCAGCAACACAAAATCAACCTCCTGCAGCAACAAATCCAGGTGAGGCCCAGTCGTGTCGGGCAGTGCGAGTGAGTGTGTGTTTTGTGTGAACGTGGCTTTCAGTTGTGTGTCAGAGTGGCCCACAAAGGCAGTTTTGTGATTGTAATCGTTGCAGCTTTGCTCTGTCATCAGCACTCAGGGGCCTGAATCAACATTGACTTTTATAGCAGCTCCTCAACACGCTCACAGATGTACACAACTCATGCAATCACCTAAAACTGGCCTGTGTTCTGTGATGGATTACAGCTAATGTTTTAGCAAGTATAAAGCTTTGCATTTTAAGTCACAGGAACAGAAATCTCACCAGAGCTGCATACCAGTTCATCATAGCAGGCCACTTGTACTTTTAATTTCTGTGTAGGAAAAACCTAATTATGTCTAAGAATAGTTTGGGCTGTGTTTCCCCCAAAAAAAAAAAAAAAATGACTGAAAAAGCAAGTTTCCACTATGCAGCTGCTCTAAGGAGGCGAGGGAAGAAAATGGAGTGGTTTGTGCTGTTCTGCTGACACCTTTAGTGGAAAAAAAGTAGAAAATACCGCCAGATATTTAGGACATATAACATTTAATTGGTATTTTTTAAATAAAAGGATGAGTTTTGCAGATTAAATAAATAAACATTCAGTGTCTTTTCTTAGCAGAAGAACAGGAGAAGTAGAAGAGTATTAGGTGTATTAGTAATGAGTTTTGTATGGAGCCTACAGTAGCCTATACATATGATTTTTAAACATTTTTGGCAAAAAAAACACTTTAACTTGAGTCTTATGTCTTTAATTTACCTTATTCCGATTTCCATGAATAAAGTCCTTAAGTATGTCCTCAACACACAATTAAAAATGTTTCCAACTGATTTTGTATGCCCATTTTGGAATCTGCATAAGCAGAGCTTAATGTAAAAAGACTCAAATCAACTTAATAAAGTTTACAAAAGGTCTATACGCTCTCTTTAGTTGTTTTTTTTAAGGTTATTTATTTTTTTGCAAAAGAGTAAATGGTTACTGACTGTTCTCATGTAGTTAACAATTAGATCCCATGACAGATCAGTTGTTTCCGCTGCCGCTGTCTTGAATGCGGCCTTTGACATGCACTTCTCTCTCTCTCTACGTCTGCATCTGGCATGTACCATCGCTACTGCTAGCTGAGACGATACAGTTTATATAACTTGCCTGATTGCAACTCATTAATCATAAACCTGGTCCATTATGCTCTATGGTCTGCATTAACTTGCTACCTCTACTTCCTGTTGATCACAGCCAGGTGTAACCTAAACGTATGAAGACATTGCGCCTTGCATCACTTGATTCATTTTACTCTATTGAATGGAATAAAAGATTTAATCTGCATTTTCTTTTTCTGACACTTGAAAAATTTCCCTCCAAATTTCCATTTTAATTCAATGGAAGCACGGCTAACATGTACAAACAGGGTGGTGGCAGAATCATGCTGCGGTAGTCCTTTTCTGCAATCGGCAGATGGAAACTGATCAGGGTTGAAGATGTAAAAATAATACTTAATTTCGTAAAATCAAATTCAGATACTTTGCTGTATATGGCTGCCATGATACCATATAGTAATATTATTTGAAAGTGTTAGATTTTTGGCCTTGGCTGCATTGTGTGAGATCCTTTCTTTCACATTTTTCACTATTATAGTAACACATCCAGGTGGAACTCCTTTAATCCTAAACACAGACTGCAAACTCAATTTCCATTTTCTTTCCACATATTTGCAATGTCCAAATCTAATTAGGAAGAATATAATGACAAACTTTAAATAGACTGGCAAAGTTATTCAATTTAAGACGTCCTTTTCAATGGGAATCTTTGTCTCCAGCTTTAGAAAGGGTTGGGTATCTCTCTAACACTTAAAAATAGAAGTATTGTACTTTAGGATGCTACACTGGAGCCTCTATTTTGGTCCAGGTGGCTTGGAACGAAGAGCCCAGGCCTTTGTAAAGGCAGATGACACTGAATTTTAAGCTGAGAAAGCGGGGCTTTGTACCATAAAGAGACACTCTGTCCTAGAAGGAGCGCACACACACATTCTCCTTCCCCCAAGAGTGTAGCCACACACAGTTTGTGTGATAAGAGACCTTGTGATTGCATGTGCGTTGGACATTTGTCTGTCTGTCCATTATTCTTTGCGAAGCAGTTTATTTGCTTTGTTTGACTTAAAGTCGGCATTGTTCACGTTTTGTCTCCCTTGACAAGAAAAAGAAAGAAGAGAACACATGTTTGTTTCTTAGGGTTCCTCTGTGCCGTCTTGATGCTTTCATTTCTTCACGTGTGTGTGTGTGTGTGTGCGTTTGCTGCAGCTGTGTGTGTGTTAAGCTATAAACACGTCCGCTCATGATTCACTCCCTCACGACCCCGCCGAGACAAAGCTCTCTTTTCCCATGACTTTGCAACCTTTTCCCAAACAAGCGTCTCTCCATTGAACGCGCCCAACAATAGTTTCTCACAAGCAGGGGCAGCTGTAGGCAGCCTCGTTAAGGGAGGGAAACAATCAACAGGGGCTCATCGCAGGAGCTCCAAAATCTCACTTTTTTTTGCATGGATCTCAGACACACACACACAAAAATAATAAAATGGGACAAAAAAAACGTAAAATACTCGCCATCGTTTGCTGGCGCAAACATAGTCAGGGAGAGCTGACGATCAAACACGCACTCATCATCAAAGACTTGGTCGAGAAACACACTGCTTAATCATTCATGAAGAGATTGTCCGCACAATCCCACAATACAATGGCCTGCCAGGGCCAGAGCACAAGGTTCAGTGTGCTGCGGTGTATGTGTGTGTGTTTGTGCCCGTATGATAAGCCCCTTGTGATTGCGTTTCCCCCTAACGAGGCTGAGTTCAGCTGTCCCTCCGTTTGCGCGCCTTGGTCCGTGTGCATCTCGTCCTTGGCTTTGTTAGACTCGAACCCCCAAAGGCCTGCAAAGAATGCTTTCAAGCGTCCACTTGGAAGAGGTGATGAAATGAAACGAATTCTAAAGCTCATGAAAAAGAGAAGAGTTTGACACACATCCCTCATGCAAAAAGAAAACAAATTATTTATTGTCCTTGTGTTGGGTTTTCTATTTTATTTCTCACCCTGAAACCCCAAGTCAAGCTTTCAGTTTTAGCTCTTATTTAGGCCAAAGGCAGAGTTTGCACACAGAGGCGGTTATAATAGCAGCACAAGTTGGTGATGTTCAGCTAAACCTGCTTATATCACTCTGTAGGGTTCAGAAGCCAGTAAATTCTGTCCTTTTATTAGAAATGTAGCATTTACTCTGATTTTTTTAGATGATGCTCACAACAAAAAACGAGGTAAGTGGTGGCAGCATTATGCTGTGGGACGATTTGAATTTCCTTTGCTTGACTGGAGAGAGGGAAGCTGCTCGGAATCGTTTGGGTGACGAATGAAGTAAAAGGCAATGCAATTTTGCAGAAAATTGCGAAAAACACCCTCAAACTGCCATAAACATGCAACCAGAGCTATAAGGAAAGTTTTAGATCACCGCATTTGTGTGCGTTAGAAAGTCCATATTTTTAACCAGCATCTTAGCTCCACCTTAACCCCTGCCTTAAGATGAATGAGTCTTCAAAACACATGGGACAAGTTATTTTTAGGCTTTGCAGGGCAAGCAAAACTGACCTTCGTTTTTGTCGAATCCTAGGGAACTTTTTGTTAAGCTAAGAATTCCCAATCACAACATGCAAAAACACAAAAGAACACACACATGCACTTTCCCTAACACACTACCCCCCTGCTGGGGGCCATCTTGTTAAACTGGAAGAGGTGAGCACATTTACCTCCAGCTCCCTTTACTTTCCGTCTCATTCTAATTAAACGTCTTGTCCGCGAGGCCCCCCCCAGAGCCGCCGGGGGACGACTGCTGCAGCCGCGCAGGGAAGCGCGACGGGGATGAAAGGAGCTCACCTGCCGAGCGGCTCAGGGCTTACCTTGAGAGCGAGCGCTCGCATGTTCAGAGAACAGCAGCGCAAACAGACAATGCAGTCTGAAACAGAGGGATGAGAATATGCGAGCTTGTTTTTTAGGCTAATGAATCAAACGTTAGTCAACCGAAACACACTTGCACGGTCAAGCCCACTCTGTGTGTCATCTTTCATCTCATCAAGACTCCCTGGCACTATAGGTTCCCAATCAAAAAAATGAGATGAAATTCAGAGCAAAGTGAAACCACTTGATGCTTTCAAAAGGTTTACAACCGCAGAGGACAGTCGCTAACAAGCTTGTTATCAACTTTGGTGGCAACTCTTCAGCTCATGATGTCAGATGGAGAGAACAACAGAGAAAACACCTTTTGTAGCGCTCAAAACCCCAGCAGCACCTCTGTATCCTTTGCATAGCTGCACCTAGCCCAATTGCCTGTGTAATTGTTTAATCACCACCATTACACAGCAGCCCGAGTAATTTGTGCTTTCCGTTCACACTGTACGCCTGCGTGTCCGTACGTGGGCACACACACTCACACACACCCCTTTACCACTGAGACTCACCCAGCCTATCAGAGCCTTTAACACACACTAACACACTCTGGTCTGTGCATCCAAGCCATCAGGGAGTTATTTCCTCCTGAACCATGGCCCTGCATTCACAGGAGACTGGCCTAATAGCGCCGTCCATAGAAAGTTAATGGACTAATATTAAAAAGCAGCCGTATCTCTGCTTCTCTTTCTCTCTCTGCCCAAATTAATTATTGGTTCTAATGCTCGTACGTCACCTCTCCTGCAATAGGTCATCCAGGTCTTGCATTAATTGCCATAACATATGGTCGCCAACAGATTTTAGCTGTGGGACTCGCACTTTAGTGGGGGCTATTTTTTCGCGCGCTCAGAGGCGAGCCATATTGTGCGGCGCTGGCAGCTATTGTTCGGCGCATTAACTTCATAGAGCTAATTACTCCCCAATAATAACTTTACCTTGGAGTTTTTCAGCGCGCCGCGTGCCAACCAACCTGTTTCGCACCCCATATGTTAATTAGCGGCCACATCTTCATTATGCCGCAGCGGCGCTTTAAGTTCAAGCTGTGCCGCCTGGCGCGTGGTGAACGCAGCCTCATCTCGCTGCCAATTATCCAACTCCTGCTCCCCTCTCTGAGTTTTCCTCGCGCTCCTTCTGCCGATCTTTCTGTTGTTTCTATCTACTACTATTTTTTTTTTTTTTTTGAACATTTTCCTCAGAATTTGTTTTGCCAAAGTAATTTTTCTCTTTCCGTCCACTTTGGCCCTGTGAAACTTCTCAAGATAAAGTCTCACATTTGTTTGTCATGTATTTGTGATTCCCCCCTTTACTAAGAGTGTCTTTCTTTGTTTTCTCTTTGGGTTATCACTGATTAGAGGAATTTTGCAGACGAGTTACAGTCGCGTTTGCTTCAGGTTTCTCCTTCAGACATGGAGGAGGGTGCAGAGCTTCTTGTTCTCCACATCAGCAGACTACAGAAGCAGTAGTGTGGTCTTTTGTCTGTGTGTTTTGTAGGTTTTCATGTTCGCTTTAGGCCTGATGAGAAAGAAAAGCTGAGGAATGCATTATTCTCCATAGTGCCAACTGTTTCAGATCTCCCTCTTCCTTTATGTGAAATCTGCAGATTGTCTCAAAGACCTGGCCTGCCTCTTTCTTTGTTCCTCTAAATATCATTTTTCTTTTCTTAGTCCCTTTGTCTCTGATTTCTGTACTCTCCTCTGTTTTAGAAAACCCTTTCTGTTGTTTTTTTCTCACTTGCAAAGTTGACATATGATGAGGCTGAACTTCCAGCTCATTTTAAGGTATTAAATAAAGTACTGATTAAGGCAAGACAAAAGATTAAGACAAAATTTAAATCCCATATCAGGGCAAATACATTTAAGGACTTATTGCACCATTGCAACAAACACAAGCTCAAAAGTATCATATTTAAATTAATATATTGCCTAACCTTAAGTATATAACTACATATCTACTACCGGTAAATTTAAATTCTTGAAGAGTAAACAGTCCCTCGTTTTAATAGAAATCCAACTGTTCTGTAAAGGCATTAGATGTACATTAGAGAACAAAAGTGAGAAAACAAGTCCGGGATAAAGGTTTTGGAGAGGTGCATTCCCTAAATCAAGTCTTTGTGGGGCTGTGGCAGGAGGAAAGTCAATGTTGACAGAAAGCTAAAGTCATACAGGGGACACAGCAAACGTGGGAGAATGTGTTCTGATCAGATGAGACAGATTTAATGTTTTGCCTTTATGCAAAGCACTGTAATCATCCTATAAAAGTTTAAAACATATTCCACATCACAGAAGTTGCAGCATAAGGATGTGGGAATAATTTTCTGAGCAGAAACGCATAAAACTTGGTTTCTAAATCAGGAGCATATATTCTCTTTAATACATGGGAGTCTAGCCTCTTCCATAGCCAAGACGCATTTATTCTAGACAGCATCCAAGGCTGGTGTTGCTGCTCATAAGCGGAAATATCTGCAATATCAACATATGGAAATGAGTTTTTTACTAGAAACCTTTCCTAATGTTGATCTGTATCTTCTTTTCGGCTTTTGTGTCTTTTTCTTGTCCTTTTGTTGTGTTTTTTTCAGACCTGAATATGTTATGCAACAGTCCTGTAGGCTGATTAATGTCTTTCCATTGTGTGCAGGCTTTTTGTTATGAGATCAAAAGAGAAGAAAAGATAAGAGAAGGGAGAAGCCTTGGATGCTTTGAAGGGGTTTCTGTGATAATTTCAATTGCAGAAAGAAAGAAGCATAGCCTTGTGCACACGCTGACGTCACACAGTGCATCTATGCTCTGAGCGCACGTGTTTTGGCCGTCTCGAACTTATCGTCCTTCTTTTCTCTCCTCCCTTTGGTACATTTCAGTTTTGCTAGCCAGCTCTACTCCAGCATATGTCCAATTAGGCCTGAAAGGCAAAGCAGAACAGTTCTGTCTGTGATTCGTCCCTGCGGGGGTCCCGTCCGCTGCCTGATCGCACGGCGCACAGGCAGCCCGGCGGTTTATGGTTAACCAAAAACGGTAGAGTAATTACTGTTTTTGGTGTAAGGGGGGGAAAAAAGGCGGGGTAGAGAAGTTGCTTGAAGAGAGCGGCACTATTCCCTCTGCGCTGTGATAGTTTGATTACAGTGCTGCTGGCAGTCGCATGCCAATACGTAGGAGCTGCAGGAAAGGATCGGGAGGGGAGGGTTTACAGCACGCTGTAAAAGCGCTGTTAGCACTGAGCGACACCGTCTCAAACACTAACCACTTCAAGTGCTGAGATATTACCTGATTGTACCGAGGCACCACCAGCACCACCTTCCTTATGATTGTGCAGCCGTTTCAATCATTCCAGATCAATTTTCCACATCAGTCAGCTTTTATCTGCCTATTATCCTATTCAGCCATTACCTCTCTGGCCTCCTGGCAAAATAAAAGCGACAGAATGGAGAGAGAGGAAAGGAGATGAGCTGCAAAGAGGGAAGAGTGCTTTTGTAGCCACACATACAGGTCAAAGGCTTCAAGACTTTAAAGGATTGAATTTAAAGGGGCCTTTTTACAAGTTTTTCACTCTAATCCTTGCAGACTTGTCTGGTTTAATCCCAGGTGCAGGGAGAAAAGGTACAGGCGTAATGTGTTGGATAAGTGGTCATGTTGAAGGGCCTGCTTCTTCTCATTTATTTCAGAGTGTTGTAGGCGTGCATTGTAATGTTGGCATTCCGAAATGTTCAAAAGCGAAACAGTTTGCCAATGACAGCACTGCATTATATCTTAAAAAAGATTTATTTATTATAAAACCACGATGTACTTTCCTTTAACGCGACTTTGAGGCCTCTGACTGTCTGGCTCATCCCAGCTCCCATCGAGATAAGATCTGTTTAAATGCACCTTTTCCCCCACTTTCCTCCTCATCCTAGCTGTCACTCAGTCCATCACATGCAAGCTTTTGTGTGTTGTTCTTGGCAGAACGCTGTTTAGTGCAACCATCTGTCTCCTCCTCTCTCTCTCTCTCCTGTCGTCTTTGCCAAAGTCACCCAACGGAGGAGACTTTTTTTCTTTCTGTCTTTCTGTTCCTGAATCTTCTTTTAAAATCTTGGAAACCTTATGAAGTCGTATGGCTTCCTGCCGACAGGCACGCAGAGAGGGTGGCGTCTGCGAGTTTGCAGGCTTTTAGGTTTGGTGCGGAGAGAAGAGAGAGAACATCATCGTCCAAATAAGAGTAAAAAGCCCAGCTGTTGTTACAGTTTAGTGAACTGTCCTTGTGGCTTGAAATGACTGGGTGACAGGGTTTATTTTCTTTTCTTTTTTTCTACTTCCATTTTGTACCTCGCAATATTTCAAAAGTTTCAGCTTTTATTTCAACATAAAAATACTTTATTTATAACAATGTTCTTTTGATTCAAGCATTTCAGCCTTGAAGTTCGTTCATGTAGACTTGTTGACCTGTACAATGTTTCTAAATGTTTTCTTTCCATCCTCTCTTCTTCTATCTCCCATATTTCTTTTCCATTTTTACCCCTCCCCCCCGTTTTCTCCCTCCTTCCTCAGCAGGTCCAGGGCCAACTCCCTCCACTGATGATTCCAGTGTTTCCTCCTGACCAGCGGACCCTGGCCGCCGCCGCAGCCCAGCAGGGCTTTTTGATGCCCCCCGGGTTCAACTACAAGCCTGGCTGCAGTGAGTGCATGAAACTGATGTTTATTTTGATATGTTGGTTTCCTAGCAGGGCTACTCAGTGGCGCATGAGGTAGCACTGCTGCCCCGCACCGAGAAGGTTCCGGGTTTGAGTCTCTCCATGCAGAAAGATCCTGGTCTTTCTGCATGGACTTTGCATGTTCTCCCTGAGCATGCATGTGTTCTTTCTGGGTACTCCAGCTTCCTCCCACAGTCCAAAACATAACTGTTAGGTTAATTGGCTTCTCTAAATTCTCTTTAGGTGTTAGTGTGTACATGAATGGTTGTTGGTCTCTGCGTTGCCCTGCGATATACTAGTGACCTGTAGAGGGTGTACCCTGCCTCTCACTCGTAGACAGCTGGAGATAGACACCAGCACCCCTTGCAACCTCACTTGGGATAAGCGTGAAGGAAAATAGATGGTTTCCTAGCATGGAGGTGGCTTTTTAAGATCAACTTCTTGGCCATTCAGGAAAAGGAAGTTAGAATAGCCCATTGTTAGAAAATCCTGGAAAATCAGCATCCCTTTTAATAGTGAAGTGAGTTAGATCACTGTGAACTTAGAGATTATCAACCAAGAAATAATAACCTTCCAGTTTCGCTAATTGGACTAAATCGTCTAAAGTATATTTAGTAAAGTTAGGGTGGGACTTTAAACTGAGGAACTTTGGTTCAACCTTAAGCAGTGGGTCTGTTTTACTGCCTGGGGTGTTGTCAAAGCAAAATGAAGAGGTACCTTTTGTTTCACTTTAAATCAACAGCTATGTGCTTAAAAGTTGGGTGTTAATCATCAAAACTGATGTTTGAATAAATGAAGCAGCTAGCAGTTGGAAAAGCTTAACCCTTCAACCCATTTTAAGGAAATTTCCTGCCTGGTGCCAGGAGACCAACGAGTTTAAACAAACACCTCCATATCTGATGACAAAAATTTTGATGAAATTGTCCGTTGAATGATCAATGCCATGCTGGAAAGAGGAGGTGTTCAGAAATCTTGGGTAAATATTACATGCAGGCTCAAGATGGGCGTATAAACTGTGTTTGTGTTTAGGAGGAGAGGTATCTTTCAGGAAAATAACTTTCATGTGGAATGCTTCATATGTTATCCACTAAGAAAGGTAGAGGCTGAGCGTTCTCCCACATGACGAATCTGGTTGCTTCCCAAAAGGCGAGCTCGGCCTTACAACAACATCTCCCTCTTAATAGAAAAAGCAGTCCAAATACAGCCTTCCTGTTTACACTCTCAGTATCTCTCCCGCTTTCACTCAGTCCTTTTGGCTCCTTCCTTTTGTCTTGTCTATTTTTTGACATATAAAAGCAACAAAATGAAGGCGTTCTTCAGGACTTTTTTTTTTTCTTTCCTTGGCCATTACACTCCGGCTGTGTGGCAATGTGTTGTTTACCATGATAGCGAGAGAGAGAGAGAGAGAGGGACGTACTGTAGGAAAAAGGGACTGTAGCTTGCCAGGGGATGCTGGGAATAAATGCACAGTGGGGGGGTTAGCAGAAGGGGGGGTGGGGGGAATTGGTGGTAATGTGACCTGCCCCAGGTTCTCCTCACATTAACACAGAACGCAGCCAAAATGCTTTTCCAACAAAGCCCACTTGCACTACCACACACACCCACACACACGCACTCACGTCTAGACCCGACTCCAGCAAATGAAATGTTCTAAAAAAACTTCAATGATAACGCACAAAAAAAAAAACAACACACACCGCATCCCCACCCCAAACCCCACCCGGCTCAGAGTTTCACAGCTTCCCAAACAAGTCCACTCCATTTTAATTAGTGCCATCTTCACCCACACCCACGGCCCACGTAAATACCCTAACAAGTAGTGGGCCTGTCTTTTCGCTGCCTCAGCCAACTCCAACCGGACTGGCACACTGTTGCAGGCCAAGCCGCCCCTGAGAAAACTCTCTGGCAACTTTCGAAGTTGTTGTGAAGCGATGGGGTTTGGTGCCGCAGCTCTAAATAGGACATGTGTAGCATTGTGCTCTGACATATTCTCATGGCATTTTGTCTAAGATATGAATAGATTTTCTTTCATTTTGCACGCAGGATGGATTTCTAAGCATCCATGTTTGCACAGCATCAGCAGGATCCTCTGTGATTACAAGCCTTAATATTAGGACTAAACATGCAAAAATAAACACAAGAAAACTGGTTTTATTCTCATTGCGAGACATTTCAACACCTTGAGAGCAATTATGAATTTTTTAAAGTCAAATGTATTGATTCTTCTACTAAAGATGCTTAAGGTTGCTTCTTTTATAAGAGTTAAAAATGATCACATTCAGAAAATATAACCTTGGAATTGAATACATTATTATAGAGTGAGAAACAGACACTGAAGGTTTGTCTGAGGTGAAAGAAAAGATACAATAGCAGGAAAGGTATGTTAGGGGTATCGCTGCCACAAGGGGACACAGATCACTTGTTTTATGTTTTTTTGTTCCTAAGTGGGATGAGAATCCATATTTGTCAAGTAAACCAAATGTGGGAGATTATGTTACCCTTCTTGCCCCCAGGGAATGTAAGGTTAATATTAATCTCTAAAGCTTTCTGTTGGAGATCTACAGCAAAAAATAATTCACAGTGTTACCATAACAACCTTCAAACGCTATTTACAAGTCGTATGACTAGTCAGGATGCCTGTAGCCTAAAAAAGGTCTCTCCTACCATCACAAATGTAACTATGAAAAGTTAAATTAACTCTATTGGTATTTAAAATGCTCAGGTTTAGATTAAATAAAGATTTCTGGCAAACATTTGAAGTGGGTTTGGTACCCACTCTTATGTTTGGAGGAGGATTTGTGAGGCTGTGGGCAAATTTATTTTCCAAAGATCTTGGGAAGATTGCTAAAGCGTGTGCGAAAGAAAGGACCTGGGACTCTGAAGGTTCTAGTGAGGTTGTGCAAAGAGGAGTGCATCTTTTAGGTGTTTTTGGGTGGAAGTCCTCCTCTTAAAGGTGGCAATTATAATGTTATAATTCAAGCGTTTAACTTTAAAAGCTTTATTAGTTTAGATGAAATGAAATTCTGGTGTTATCAAAACTTTCCTAGAGTGTTTAACAATCAAACCGGACTTGGTAACATGTACCTTAAAGATTTGACTGAATCCTAAACAGTGAAACATGACACCAGGTCAGAGCAGCTAATCTCTGGTGTATTTCTTGCTCGTTCCTCCATTCGAATTCGTCTTTCGTCTCTTTGTTGGTGAGAAATCTCAGACTGGTTCGCCTCTGTCCCAGAGCCAAGAGCAACATGTTTGCTTTTCCCTGTCCCTCTCCCTTTTGTTACAGCGACCCCCAGGAGGAGCATAAATATCCACTGGACTCATGTTTGCTTAAGAAGCCAGTAGAAAAGACCAATCTCCTAGAATACACAGTCCTGAAATAATTCGTTAATCCCTCCTGCCCTCTCCCCACTGGAAAAAAGAATGTCTCCACTTCGCTTTTTGTTGTTTTTTGTTTTTTTTCCTCCAAAGAGCCAAGTTAGATGGGAAAATATGTTGCAAGGAAAGTCTGGCTTATGCCACGCTAGGGTGCATGCTTACACACAAATTTGCATAGGCACGTACACACAATGGGAGCTTCTGATGGAGCCAAGAGGCTGACCCCTGTGCAGAAGGTTTAGGTCAAAGATACAAGTTCAAGCCCAGAGAACATTCTCAAGTTTCCTCCATGAGGAGTAAAGTTTCCTGGATGAAATAACGGCTGACCTCTTCCAAAAGGTGCAACCGTGGTTAGTGGGCATGTCCAAGTGCAAATCAGGGCTGTCAAACACTATGTTTATACAACATGATGATAATTAAACACAATATCCTCTCTCAGTGTGTCTCGCTGTCTTCCATATCCTCTTTCCCCCTCATCTCTGGCCTCTTTTATCCCCTGTCTCTTCTTACTAATCACCCACTCATCTCTTTTTCCTCTGTTTTCTTTAATTCACTCTTCCTGAACTTTAATGTCCTTCCCCTGTCTAGTCCGTCTATTTCTCATTTTTTTATCCCTGCAAGAGGGCATGCATGTAGATTAAAGAAAGTAGGAGTAAAGAAGAAGTGACCAACTTAAGAAAAGTGAAAGTTAAAAAGACAAAGTGATCTAGGAATATGAGACTTGATAAGAAACATCTAAAGGTACAGTAGACAGAAATAACAGGAGGGGCATCCAAAATTGGTGTTCACAGCTCTTAATTATGGAGCTGGGGATGGCTTTATCAGAATCCCCTCACCTCACTGCTCTTTGTCAGGGGGTATTAAGGAGGAGGACACACAATCAGGCTTTTCATTAGGGCCCAACCGGCAGAGCACACAAAGGAGGGCTTTAACAGCTGCAGAAAGGGACTCAGGTGGTAGTGGAGGAAGGGAAGAGGGGATTCATGACGAGCGAGGAATGAAGGTGGTATGGATACAATCAAAAGATGCATAGAAACAGTGGGGGGCATTGTAATGAAGTAAGAATCATTTGAAATAAAGAGTATTCGCTAACCGTACAGAGATATGGTCGAGACTAAGGAGCAACTGGTGTGTTAATTCCCCTGATGGAATGTTTTAAATGATGTTTAAATTTAAGGCAGCAAAATGTCTAAAAGCAAACCTCCTCTGCCCTCCTTAGGTGACCCTTACCCTCTCCAGCTCATCCCCACAACAATGGCTGCCGCTGCCGCCGCCACGCCGGGCCTGGGTCCCTTGCAGCTCCAAGTAAGTCTCCATCATCTATTAAACAACACGTTCAAGAAAACACCTTCCCAGATTCTCTCTTCCTTCGTGAACGCTATCATTGTGAACAAATCCCTAAAGCCCAGCAGCTTTCACACAACACATGCCGCCCGCTGCTCCGCGCTCAGTCCCGGGCAGGAGGGGCCGCGCAGCTGTCACTTTCAGCCAAAGTGTGGACATCAGAAAGATACAGCGAGAACGTGAACTGTATGATCAGAGCTCAAAAAATCACATGGATTTATCCAATGCAACCTTAGCCGATTGATGTTCTCCTGCAGAGATGTTGACAGTGGGTGTCAGCACACATAGGGGAGACCTATTCTGATAAATCATAATGATTAATCATGGATTTTGGGTCTCTATTCAAAGAAAAAAAAGAACTACAAATGCTAATTTTCATAAATAAGGAGCTATCGTTTGATATTTTACCTTTTTTTCTTCTTCTGAGTCATCCTAGATTTAAGCTTGTACAGCATTTTTCCCCATGCAGGCCCAGACTTTATCATGTTTATCATGACTGTAGAATGAGATTCCTATGATGGTATTCTAAAAAACGTATTTCTAATATACATGCGCTTTAACACCAGAAGTGGAGGGCAAAAACATGAGACGACAACTTTGTGTTTTGTCCATTTTCAGGCAGAACATTAGACTCTTCCACTAGAAATCACATGGGCATCCTGGCCCTGACTGTTAGAGGTTAAGAGCCCATACGGGCGTCCCATCAGCTGCCTTTCTGAAAGGCATTAATCTCCAGTATTGGGCTCGCCACCTCTGCCTCCTGAATGTGAATAATTATTAAGTGTAACACACACACAAACATGCACAGATGTCTAGATGGAGCAGCTGCTTTGACACACGCAGCTTGTCACGTACATTAACATGTTTTTTGCTGACCGCTAACACAAACAAAGGGAACGATGGGGGTAAGAAACGGGTTAAGGGGTTTGCCACAGTGCGCGCGTAATACATTTGCACCTGTCAGAGAAACGTGACGCCCCATATGCTAGACACAACAGGGAGAATGAAACAGAACTGTAACTCGACCACGGAGGACGGACCCCGCTGTCCACTCTGATTTCATTATTATGTGTGTGTGTTTAGGCCGAGAATAATGTTCTCTGTCTTATATCGCTGCTTCAATCTAGCCGTCCATATGTTTGCTTGTGTTCACTTAAAACCTCCAGCTTGAGCAGCTTTGTCCACCTTAGATTAGTTTTTGTTTTGTTTTTAGCCAGAATTGAGGAGTTAAAAAAAGACCCATAAGAAGCAGAAAAAAACAAATCATCTCAGTAACAGATTTTGTCCTCACACTGACAGAGTTGGCTGATGAGATTAAGGCTTTGTCAGAGAGGAACAGATTTGCCCAGGCTAACACGAGTGCAGATGTCTCAGTGTGGAAGGATTTCCTCCGGGGCTGTCATGGCGCCCTCATTTGATAAGGAGGTGTTTCTCTTGCTGAGACGAGACTCTGAGATAACCTTCACTAAATTATGGCTCTGCAAAAAAACTAAAATGTAGCTACAGTCTGCTTTAGCATGCAAAGACACGTGAAAGTATTATTAATGCTACAATGCTTTAGGTACTTCCACTAAGGGAGCATGAAACGGGCGTAATATCACTACTGAAGGGCATCCTAGACCCCTACTGACACAATATAAGTTCTGAAGCTGTTGAAAGCACCCTGCTGCTGAGAACAAAGGGCTACCAACTGTTTAAATTTTCACTAATTCGTAATTAACCTTTATATAAGACATTGAAAAGTAGATAAAAAGCAAATAAGTGCCACTAAGCAAGCAGTGTTAACCTTTTAAAACCGAGATGTTATAAATTACAATCTTCATTAAGATCATTGGCACACTAAGACTTCTCCTTCTCAACCTTTTGATGTCTTTTCAGCAAAAGCTGTTAATGATCTTTATTAGGATAAGTCAGGAGTTCATAAGGTGAAGATCAAATGGAGCTTGAATGTCCTTGGTAGCTATGAAGATGTACTGTTTTTTTCAGAAGCTACAGTAACATTAAAGGACCAAATCTCTAAGTAAGACATGGCGGCAGGTATAATCAGGAACCAGCTTAGTTTATTCTATGAATTTTCACTGAAAATGTGCATTTCTGTGTTTGCATTTTACTCTTGCAAATGTCCACGGACAGCAAAGAAGAGACAGAATTCAACTCTATTGCCATTACATTTTTACAATTAAAAAGGCAATTAAATTCACTTTCTGCATTTAACCCATCCCCTTGTGGAGAAATGGGCTGCCATTGTGTGGCACCTAGGGAGCAGTGTGGGGTTAAGGGTCTTGCTCAGGGACCCAGAGTGGCAGTCCGTAGAAGAGGGAGTTGAACTTGAAAACTCTGGGATCCAAGAACAATGTCTTAAACTTTAGGCCACCACTTCCCTTAAAATTTGTGCGTATTTGGGTCGATGATATAACAGATTAATTGTGAGATTTTATAGACTCGAAGCATTCCAGTCTGCTCAGTCCTCCACACTCCTGCTGAGTGTTTTATTGTTTCTAACGTTCCTTATATGTATATGGTTTAGAAACAAAGCTCAGATATCTGGCTTAACCCCTAAAGCAGGGGTCTTCAATGTTTTCTAGGCCAAGGACCCCCTACTGTAACTGTTGGAGAAATGGAGCAGGGACCCCCTAATTATACATATTGTATGAAATTGCGTTATATCAAACTGGTGCTATAGTCACGCTATTACATATGGAGTAATGTAACTAAAATAATTTCTCCCTGGGATTATTAAAGTATTTCTGATTCTGATTCCTCATTGATGGGACAGGTGTTGTGAATGAAACGGTGTCCAGCTTGAAAGAGTTCCTGTGTATCCTTAATGTGTGCATTGATGACTGAAAGAGATCTTCTCCCTCCATTTATGTGTTTACTACAGTGTGTTGAATTCATGTTAATTTGTATTTAAAGACGTTTCAATTAGTGGAAAAAATTGCATTGGGGAATATAAAAAAAGTCCAATCAACCAAAACTTTTGCAAAACTTTGATCACTCATTTAATGCAAAAATGACACGTCAGAGACACGTTCACATGGGTGGTGACTCCTGATTACTTTATACAATTAAATAATAAATCATTCATTTGGCTATACTGTAGCTGAAGTGAGCTGGATTGGTTTTATAAAGCTATCTATATTCGTTGTAAAACCAGTTAGTTTGCATAATGCCAGAAACAAAAGTAACAATACGTCATCTATAGGGAAATACTGTAAGTAGCAAACCTCGTTCCTTCTTTTGAGATGAAATCATCAGCTTTTTAGAAGTGGGAAACAAGCAAATACTGTATGATCTTTCTCTTGAAACCTTTTTTATATATATTAAGGGTAACATTATAGTTATTCTTATGCACCTTATGTGTGGGACTGATCAAATTCTGACACTCGATTAAGTTTTAAGTGTACGTAGTTGTGCTGCTCTTAAGATCTTCTCAGACCCCTTTGTTGATTATCATAGGTTAATGCTGATTATTATACGCTACCCTGATGGTATCACATATTGTATTTTCCCATAGCGTTGTGCGCACTTGGAAAATATTCTCCTCTTCAACTGATGCATACTTTAGATAAGAGGCAAGAAATCATGCTTAGAAACCATAGCTTTTGACCTGCTGACACGCCATAACAAGTGAATTCGCGGGATAAAAGACGACTAAGAGCAGATCTCTCAAAAGCTCTGCGATAAGTGCATTTCTTTGAAAAAAATGTTTAATCTCAATGATTTAAAGCTTTCTCCGTCATCTTCTTTTCTAACGTCTTCCATAGAAATGTGCAGAGTAGCTCTTCCAGTCAATGGTGGCTTAACAGAGGGTTTTTCATGGCAGTAGCGGCTTTGGAGGGTGCTAGGTTGGCATTTAGCGTGTTAATCTCGGGGATGAGTGGGACATTGTGCATTAGAGCATATTAATCTGACTTCCTATTGACCCTTCATACCATTGATACGGCATTATTCACATCAAACAAATGGAAAATGAGACTAGGAAATGTTGATAATGCTGGAAAGGAACCAGAGGATCAGTTAAAAGGAGGAACACACTAAACAGAGGGGAAGGTGGTAGGTGGATGTGTGAGAAGAAAATGCATGCGTGCGTTTAAAAGAGGGTCAACAGCGTGGGTCAGGCATCATATGGAGAGGCAGATGTTGGAACATATTGTCCTGGATTATCGCACTGTACTCCGGAGACATAGATGGACGAACAACGGGCAGGCGGATAGAGGCAGGAGAGAGAGAGGGAGGGGGGAGGAGGAAGGAACAGATGAGAAAAGGTAGAGGAGAAATCAATGGAGTGACTTGTTTCTGCACGAAAAACCCCCTTATCAGGCAAGCAGAGGAATAACAGCAAAGCAGTTTTCCAGGACATGGGAATTCTGTCTGTGTTGGTATCTCTCCTACTAGAGGCGATAATTGATTCCTAGAAATTTATGTGATAAGCAGGAACAAATGGGAAATCAATCAAGGCTGTAGAGATAGCTGGTATGTTAGGGAAATTCTTGCCCCTGTATTTGCTTTGTTGCCAGGTTTTTATGTTTCCTATTAAAGCCTTGATAACAAATCAAACAATCTTAGTGATTGTTCGTTTAAGTCACAAATAACAGCAATAGCTGTATTTTATGTGACTTGTAGACAATTAGTGAACAACCATTTGACAAGTCAAGGATTAAGCTATAGGGGTCATTTGATGCATCCGAGGGAAAAGCTGGTTACTCTGGAGGAGCTGCAGAGATACACCGCTCAGGTATTGACAGGACGGTATGATAAAAGTCAACAATAAGATGGACGTAAGAAAGTAGCCGATAGCTCTTTCTACAACATGCTACATCAGGTCTTATTTCTTAGTGAATGTTTCTATGAGCAACAAAATCAAGTTCAGGATATTTTGGAAGACTCAAAAATTGCTGTTTAAAGCTCTGCTCAGATCGGAAAGAGTTAGAGCTTTTGGCAAAGAAAAAGAGGCAACA